GTGTGCAGGTTTGGGACCAGCCCCTCTAATATTTTCCACGTGTAAATTATTATATATCTCTCCCGCCTGCGCTCAAGGGAGTACAGATTTAGGCTCTTTAGTCGGTCCCAATAGTTTAGGTGTTTTACTGAGTGGATTCTAGCAGTAAAGGATCTCTGCACGCTCTTCAGGTCAGCAATTTCTCCAGGTTTGAAAGGTGCTGTCATTGTGCAGCAGTACTCCACTCTAGAGAGCACAAGCGTCTTGAAGAGTATCATCATCGGTATAGCATCTCTAGTGTGAAAAGTTCTTGTTATCCAACCTGTCATTTTTCTTGCAGTTGTGACGGGTACTTTATTGTGTTCTTTAAAGGTAAGGTCTTCCGACATGAGTACACCCAGATCCTTTACATTGCCTTTTCGTTCTATGTTATGATTTGCCTGAGTTTTGTACGTGGTTTCCGTTTTTATATTTTCATTTTTTCCATAGCGCATGAGCTGGAACTTATCTTCGTTAAACACCATATTATTTTCTGTAGCCCATAGAAAGACCTGATCTACATCTGACTGGAGGTTTGCCGTGTCCTCTATGTTGCCAACTCTCATGAAGATCCTAGTGTCATCTGCAAAGGATGATACAGTGCTATAGGTTGTGTTCTTGTCTATGTCCGATATGAGGATGAGTAAAAGTACTGGAGCAAGCACAGTACCCTGGGGGACTGAGCTCTTCACAGTTGATGGGCTGGATTTTATTTTGTTGACTATTACACATTGCGTTCCGTTGGTCAGGAAATTGTAGATCCATCTGCATATTTTTCCTGTAATTCCTTTTGAATGCATTTTATGTGCAATAACACCATGGTCACATTTATCAAAAGCTTTTGCGAAATCTGTGTAAATTACATCAGCGTTTTGTTTGTCTTCCATAGCATCTAATGCCATATCATAGTGGTCCAGCAACTGTGACAGGCAAGAGCGCCCTGTTCTGAAACCGTGTTGTCCGGGGTTATGGAGATGCTGTGATTCCATGTATTTTGTGATCTTACTTCATAGCACTTTCTCAAAATTTTTTATGATGTGCGATGTTAGTGCTATCGGTCTGTAATTTTTTGCCTCTGCCTTATTTCCTCCTTTATGGAGTGGTGCTATCTCTGCTGTTTTTAGTATGTCATGGATAACGCCAGTATCTAGGCTTTGTCTCCACAGAATGTAAAGGGCTTGCGATAGTGGTTTTTTACAGTTCTTGATGACTATGGAGTTCCAAGAATCCGGGCCTGGTGCAGAGTGCATAGGCATACTGTTTATGGCTTCTTCAAAATCCAGTGGGGATAGGGTGACGTCTGATATATGATTTGATGTTGGTATCATATCCATGAAAAATTCATTTGGGTTATCAATCTTTAGTGCGTTTAATGGCTCACTGAAAACAGAGTCGTACTGCTTCCTCAGTAGCTCGCTCATTTCTTTGTTGTCATCGGTGAAAGTTCCATCTCCCTTTCGCAGGGGCCCGATACTAGATGTGGTTTTTGATCTTGATTTTGCATAGGAGAAAAAATATTTCGGATTTCTCTCTATTTCACTGATGGCCTTTTGCTCTCTTTGCCTCTCCTGGGTTTTGTATGATTCTTGTTGCTTCCGTTCAATTGTTTCTATTTCTCTACCTAACCTTCTTCGCCGTTCTTGAGATAGGGTGCGACTCTCAAGTTGTTCCGCGATTCGTTTTCTTCGCCTATATAGGGAACGACGTTCCCGTTCCAATCTGCATCTCTTCCTCTTTTTTCTTAGGGGTATGCGGTTTGAACATATTTCTAGTGCTACTGAGCTTATTTTTTCCAGGCACTGGTTCAGGTTTGCATTTTCTAGCTGTTCTTCCCAGTTTATTTCTGTGAAGTCCTGGTTTATTTGCTCCCAGTTTATCTGTTTATTATTGAAGTTGAACTTGCTGAAATCTCCTCCACCAGGAATCTGGACTGGTTTTGAAGGTCTACTCCCCATGGTTGTCAGAACTTCAATTAAGTTATGATCTGAGTAACAGGTATTTGTAATCATTATGTTCCTGATCAATTCATCATTATTAGTGAAAATGAGGTCCAGCGTGTTCCCCTTCCTAGTTGGTTCTACTATTTGCTGGTTTAAGGCAAACCTGTCGCACATCCGTAGCAGGTCATTTGCATGTGCCTGTTCATTTAGGCTACTTCCTGGTATTCTTTCTGATATTACTGTATTAGCCAGGTGCTTCCATTTCTGGTGCCGTAGGTTGAAGTCCCCAAGCAGGATGATGATCGGAGCTGGATTTGTGAGGTTTTCCAAGCAGTGTTCTATTTTCATTAGTTGGTCTTTAAACTGCTGAGGGTTTGCCTCCGGTGACTTATATACAAGGACAATAACTACATTTAGAATCTCTATTTTGACTATCAGCACTTCCACCATATCATTTGAGGTGTTTAGCAGCTCAGTACAGATGAGTGTGTCTTTGATGTAGAGGCTGACCCCACCCTGAAGCCGGTGTTTCCTGTCACATCTGAAAAGATTGTATTCTGGGATCCATATTTCACCATCATGGTAGTCCTTTGTGTGAGTTTCCGTTAGGGCTGCAAACATTGCATTTGTTGCCTCATGTACGAGGCCGTGTGTGTGTGTGTGTGTGTGTGTGTGTGTGTGTGTGTGTGTGTGTGTGTGTGTGTGTGTGTGTGTGTGTGTGTGTGTGTGTGTGTGTGGAGGCACCTTGCGTGCTGGGCGTCACCCATGAAACTGTGCGACTCCCCCCCCCCCCCCCCCCGGGACACTGTGTGACTCTCCCCCCCCCCGGGACACTGTGTGACTCTCCCCCCCCCCGGGACACTGTGTGACTCTCCCCCCCCCGGGACACTGTGTGACTCTCCCCCCTCCGGGACACTGTGTGACTCTCCCCCCCCCCCCGGGACACTGTGTGACACTCCCCCCCCCCGGGACACTGTGTGACTCTCCCCCCCCCCCCCGGGACACTGTGTGACTCCTCCCCCCCCCCCCGGGACACTGTGACTGTGACTCTCCCCCCCCCCCCTGGACACTGTGACTCTCCCCCCCCCCCGGGACACTGTGTGACTCTCCCCCCCCCGGGACACTGTGTGACTCTCCCCCCCCCCCCGGGACACTGTGTGACTCTCCCCCCGGGACACTGTATGACTCTCCCCCCCCGGGACACTGCGTGACTCTCCCCCCCCCGGGACACTGCGTGACTCTCCCCCCCCCCCGGGACACTGTGTGACTCCCCCCCTCCCCGGGACACACTGTGACTCTCCCCCCCCCGGGACACTGTGTGACTCCCCCCCCACCGGACACTGTGTGACTCTCCCCCCCCGGGACACTGCGTGACTCTCTTCCCCCCGGGACACTGTGTGACTCTCCCCCCCCCCCGGGACACTGTGTGACTCTCCCCCCCCCCGGGACACTGACTCTTCCCCCCCGGGACACTGTGTGACTCTCCCCCCCCCGGGACACTGTGTGACTCTCCCCCCCCCCCCCCCCCCCCCCAGGGACACTGTGTGACTCCCCCCCCACCGGACACTGTGTGACTCTCTCCCCCCCCCCGGGACACTGTGTGACTCCCCCCCCCCGGACACTGTGTGACTCCCCCCCGGACACTGTGTGACTCTCCCCCCCCCCCTGGGACACTGTGTGACTTCCCCCTCCCCCCCGGGACACTGTGTGACTCCCCCCTCCCCCCCCCGGGACACTGTGTGACCCTCCCCCCCCCCCCCCCCCCCCCCCCCCCGGGACACTGTGTGACTCCCCCCCCCTGGGACACTGTGTGACTCCCTCCCCCCGGGACACTGTGACTCCCCCCCCCCCCCCTGGACACTGTGTGACTCTCCCCCCCCCCGGGACACTGTGTGACTCTCCCCCCCGGGACACTGACTCCCCCCCCCCCCGGGACACTTGTGACTCTCCCCCCCCCCTGGGGACACTGTGTGACTCTCCCCCCCCGGGGCACTGTGTGACACCCCCCCCCCCCCCCCCGGGACACTGTGTGACTTTCCCCCCCCCCGGGACACTGACTCTCCCCCCCCCCGGGACACTGTGTGACTCTTCCCCCCCCCGGGACACTGTGTGTGACTCTTCCCCCCCCCCGGGACACTGTTGTGTGACTCCCCCCCCCCCGGGACACTGTGTGACTCTTCCCCCCCCCAGGGGACACTGTGTGACTCCCCCCCCCCCGGGACACTGTGTGACTCTCCCCCCCGGGGACACTGTGTGACTCTCCCCCCCCGGGACACTGTGTGACTCTCCCCCCCCCCGGGACACTGTGTGACTGACTCCCCCCCCCCCGGGACACTGTGTGACTCCCCCCCCCCGGACACTGTGTGACTCTCCCCCCCCCGGGACACTGTGTGACTCTCCCCCCCCCCCGGGACACTGTGTGACTCTCCCCCCCCCCCGGGACACTGTGTGACTCCCCCCCCCCGGGACACTGTGTGACTCTCCCCCCCCCCGGGACACTGTGTGACTCCCCCCCCCCCCCGGGACACTGTGTGACTCCCCCCCCCCCGGGACACTGTGTGACTCTCCCCCCGGGACACTGTGTGACTCTCCCCCCCCGGGACACTGTGTGACTCTCCCCTCCCCAGGACACTGTGTGACTCCCCCCCCCCCCCCCGGGACACTGTGTGACTCTCCTCCCCCCGGGACACTGTGTGACTCTCCCCCCCCGGGACACTGTGTGACTCTCCCCCCCCCCCCCGGGACACTGTGTGACTCCCCCCCTCCCGGGACACTGTGTGACTCTCCCCCCCCCGGGACACTGTGTGACTCTCCCCCCCCCCGGGACACTGTGTGACTCCCCCTGGGACTCATGCCAGCTATATCCTCCTGCAAGAGGAACGACTTGTCAACAGGGTTTTTCCTTCCTTCAGTAGCTAGTCCGGCCATAACTGACAAGGCCGCGATGTCTCACGAGGTGTGATCTCACTTTTTGTTGCTACACACAGATTGACAGCTTTAAGGTGGCGGCGAGTAGTGTGCGGCTTGAGCAACGGAAACACGATGCATTCTTTAGTGCCTAGTCTTCAGACCGCGCCCTGCTTGGCTGTTTCCAGACTGCTCCGTGCGTGGCCGTTTCCAGATCCCGCCCTGCTTGGCCGTTTCCAGACCGTGCCCTGCTTGGCTGTTTCCAGACCGCGCCCTGCTTGGCCGTTTCCAGACCGCGCCCTGCTTGGCCGTTTCCAGACCGCGCCCTGCTTGGCCGTTTCCAGACCGCGCCCTGCTTGGCCGTTTCCAGACCGCGCCCTGCTTGGCCGTTTCCAGACCACGCCCGCCCTGGCCGTTTCCAGACCGCGCCCGCCCTGGCCGTTTCCAGACCGCGCCCGCCCTGGCCGTTTCCAGACCACGCCCTGCTTGGCCGTTTCCAGACCACGCCCTGCTTGGCCGTTTCCAGACCGCGCCCGCCCTGGCCGTTTCCAAACCGCGCCCGCCCTGGCCGTTTCCAGACCGCGCCCGCCCTGGCCGTTTCCAGACCGCGCCCGCCCTGGCCGTTTCCAGACCGCGCCCGCCCTGGCCGTTTCCAGACCGCGCCCGCCCTGGCCGTTTCCAGACCGCGCCCGCCCTGGCCGTTTCCAGACCGCGCCCGCCCTGGCCGTTTCCAGACCGCGCCCGCCCTGGCCGTTTCCAGACCGCGCCCGCCCTGGCCGTTTCCAGACCGCGCCCGCCCTGGCCGTTTCCAGACCGCGCCCGCCCTGGCCGTTTCCAGACCGCGCCCGCCCTGGCCGTTTCCAGACCGCGCCCGCCCTGGCCGTTTCCAGACCGCGCCCGCCCTGGCCGTTTCCAGACCGCGCCCGCCCTGGCCGTTTCCAGACCGCGCCCGCCCTGGCCGTTTCCAGACCGCGCCCGCCCTGGCCGTTTCCAGACCGCGCCCGCCCTGGCCGTTTCCAGACCGCGCCCGCCCTGGCCGTTTCCAGACCGCGCCCGCCCTGGCCGTTTCCAGACCGCGCCCGCCCTGCCCGTTTCCAGACCGCGCCCGCCCTGGCCGTTTCCAGACCGCGCCCGCCCTGGCCGTTTCCAGACCGCGCCCGCCCTGCCCGTTTCCAGACCGCGCCCGCCCTGCCCGTTTCCAGACCGCGCCCGCCCTGCCCGTTTCCAGACCGCGCCCAGCCTGGCCGTTTCCAGACCTAACTAGTAGCTATAGCCTATATAAATGCAAAAGTATTTACAAGCGGCTTAAGCTTTCCATGAGAAACCAGAGGAAATAACCACTGGGCGAAGGAGCCAGTAGTTGCCTGGACTGCAAGTAAATTATTTGCCGCACCTAAATTATTGAGATCATCTGAAAGCTCTCCACATGTACTCGCTAGAAAGACGACGAGAGTCTCTTGTACTCACTGCCATATAATATACACTTGGGAAATACTGAAGGGCCAGGTACCAAATCTACACAGTAAAATAACAACGTACTGCAATGAACTATATGGGAAGAAAAAGCAGAATAGAACCAGTGGAGAACAAGGGTGCCATAGGCACAGAGAACACTGTGTAAACATCAGAGGTCCGCGGTTGTTCAACACCCTCCCAGCGACTATACGAAATATTGCCGGAACAACCGTGGACATCGTCTTTTAGAAAACTATTTAGTTTTCTCTTGAAGTGCCGGACCAACCGGGTTGTGTTGGGTATGTGGGTTCAGTGGTAGGGCGCATATCCTTTCATCTAATGCCTCTGTTCACCTAGTAGTAAGTAGGTACTCAGGAGTTAGTCAGCTTGTTGTGGGGTTGAATCCTAGGTGGGGGCCAGTAATTTGACCTTGAGGGGGGGGGCTCGATATAAGCCTAACGTGTGTGAATACACTATGGCTTCCTGTCCCCCGACACAATGAATTATTATTATAATAATGCAAGCCTACAGTAGTACAGTAATAGTCTAATTATAATATGATTTTCTTATAAAATATGTTTTATGTATTTTAGAATGCAGTTACTGTACTGTATTTGACTAAGGAAATTGTATTAGTTACACTACAGTAACTGTAATGTTGTGCGGTGTGAACTACAGTACCTACTGTTGTGCGGTGTGAACTACAGTAACTGTAATGTTGTACAGTGTGAACTACAGTAACTGTAATGTTGTACAGTGTGAACTACAGTAACTGTAATGTTGTGCGGTGTGAACTACAGTAACTGTAGTGTTGTACTGTGTGAACTACAGTAACTGTAATGTTGTGCGGTGTGAACTACAGTAACTGTAATGTTGTACGGTGTGAACTACAGTAACTGTAGTGTTGTGCGGTGTGAACTACAGTAACTGTAATGTTGTGCGGTGTGAACTACAGTAACTAATGTTGTACGGTGTGAACTACAGTAACTGTAATGTTGTGCGGTGTGAACTACAGTAACTGTAATGTTGTACGGTGTGAACTACAGTAACTGTAATGTTGTCCGGTGTGAACTACAGTAACTGTAATGTTGTACGGTGTGAACTACAGTAACTGTAATGTTGTGCGGTGTGAACTACAGTAACTAATGTTGTACGGTGTGAACTGCAGTAACTGTAATGTTGTGCGGTGTGAACTAGAGTAACTGTAATGTTGTGCGGTGTGAACTACAGTAACTAATGTTGTACGGTGTGAACTGCAGTAACTGTAATGTTGTGCGGTGTGAACTACAGTAACTGTAATGTTGTACGGTGTGAACTACAGTAACTGTAATGTTGTGCGGTGTGAACTACAGTAACTGTAGTGTTGTGCGGTGTGAACTACAGTAACTGTAATGTTGTACGGTGTGAACTACAGTAACTGTAATGTTGTACGGTGTGAACTACAGTAACTGTAATGTTGTACAGTGTGAACTACAGTAACTGTAATGTTGTACAGTGATTACTACAGTATCAGTAATTTAAACAAAGTTCTCATCTCTTTATTAAATGAAAATGTTAATTTTGATGATTGTTTACATGAAGTGAACATTTTAACATTAAGGTGTTTGCAGCTGTTTGCATGCTGGAATACATTAGTCTTTTTGTTTATACTGTAAAATCAGATTATCCAGAAAGACTGAAAAAGACATTTACCTTTATCTTTACCAAGTGATGTTTAATATAATTTTTGAGGTAATGTTGGCATGATCATGGGAAGAGACATACCCCACACTATGTCAGAAGCCAGATTACTCTTGTCTAGTGTGACATACTCCACCAGGCATATAATATGAATTGTTATGTCTAAAAGAAGTTCACGAGTACCGTGTAAGAGGCTACAGTGTAGTTTGAATGGCTCATAAAATTTGCTCAATCTATATGCCGTCCAGTATAATAATCATATTGCTTTCAAGTCTAGCAAGCCTTTATTACTGCTTAACCTTAATACAGTAGGTATATTTATTTTTTCTTGTCTATAGGTTATAATGCAAATACTGTACATGTACCTTCATCAGCTAGCCTTCTTAAATAATTTTACATTTATTTTGAAGAGCAGATATAATGATATCAGAGGTATGTTTACAAAATACATTGTCAGGAAAATCAAGTATATTGCTTACAGTCTAAGGCTCATTCACTTTTCATCTTGAAAATGTGAGTACTAATACATGATAACAATTTATCTTTGGCAGGGGCGGGCAGGATGGGCAAACTATTGAGTAAGATCTTCGGCAACAAGGAGATCAGGATCTTGATGCTGGGACTAGATGCAGCAGGGAAGACTACTATCCTCTATAAGTTAAAACTGGGCCACTCTGTCACCACAATACCAACCGTCGGCTTTAACGTTGAAACAGTAGCGTATAAAAATGTCAAATTTAATGTTTGGGTAAGTACAGCTCATTTTTATTATTACAAAGTTTTAATTTTGTATTAAAATCCCACATAGATGCTGCATTAATTAAGGCATCTTAATTTTGTGACAGGTTTATTTCTGAGCTATCTTACTCAATTGAGCCCCAAGACCCTACCGGATCATGATTTGTTGGGGCAGGCTAATGTACTTCACCATCAGAGAACCCTTTAGACATCTGTGTTAAGTCATAAATGATGCTAAGGAAATATTGAGGTACAGTCCAGAATTACCTCCAGAAAGTTTATTCATAAAACTCAAAGCCCGTCCATGCTCTACTAAGCTTAGAAGGTTTGCCAAGCACTGCTCTTGCCAACATTTGATCTGTCAATCTGCTAACCCTGACGGCCACTAGATGGCCAGCGTGTTTTTCTAAGGTTTTACAACATCAAGAAAATGGTCAATTTAAAATGTCCTCTTCTAAACTACCAAACCAAGCCAGAGGAACCAAAACAGAAAACGAGACAGTACATCACTTTCGTAAGCTACTTCCATTTTCTAGAACAAAAATTTTTATCCTTTGAAATGCATATGAGTGAAAAAGAACATTGTGAGTGGAGAGGTCGAGGTGGCAGCACCTGAGCCTCTGCATAGTTCACCGATGGGTTCATATGGCAGCTAGTCAGGAGTCTGGAGAGTGTAACAGTGTTTCAGAAATATTCAGAGTGTTGCCTCACTGCTCTTCAGTAGTAGGTAGGAGGTTATCTTGAGATTGATTTATTTATTTATTTTATTTATTTATTTATATACAAGAAGGTACATTGGGTTTGTGAGAATACATAGCATAGTATTTACAATCTTGTAAAGCCACTAGTAGGTGCAGCGTTTCGGGCAGATGATGATTTCGGGGCTCAGCGTTCCCTCGGCCCGGTCCTCGACCAGGCCTCCTTTTTGTTACACATTCCCAAGGAAGCAGCTCGTAGCAGCTGTCTAACTCCCAGGAGCCTATTTACTGCTAGATGAACAGGCGCACCAAGGTGAAAGAAACTCTGCCCATTTGTTTCTGCCTCCACCGCGGATTGAACCCAGAACCTTAGAACTACGAATCCGGAGTGCTGTTAACTCGGCTATCAGGCCCCTTCCCTATCAGGACAATCAACTTTCCCCGCCATATGTAGGATAGTGACTGTGACTCTGAACTGAACCCTGCTCTAGTTTATTTTGGACTACATCCTGGATTCAGGATCAAGTTCCTGCTTTATCCTTCTTGAGATTATCTTGAGATGATTTCGGGGCTTTAGTGTCCCCGCGGCCCGGTCCTCGACCAGGCCTCCACCCCCAGGAAGCAGCCTGTGACAGCTGACTAACACCCAGGTACCTATTTTTACTGCTAGGTAACAGGGGCTTAGGGTGAAAGAAATTCTGCTCATTGTTTCTCGCCGGCGCCTGGGATCGAACCCAGGACCACAAGTCCAGTGTGCTCTCCGCTCAGCTGACCGGCTCCTTGGTTAGTAAGCAATGCTTTCTTTTTTCTGTTGTAAGTAGCAGATGTGATTTTTCGTTCATCTTCCCTGCCTGCCTGATCTTGTCTATTTACAACCCCCCCCCCCTCCCTTTCCAACCCATTGCCGTCGTGAGGGGGCTTGGTGGGCGGCTGCCAGAGTGTGGTGCTCTATGGGATGGCTTGTCCTCTGCCCTTCTGAATCCTTATGTTACTGCTGCTGTCCTCTCCAATTTTGCTAGTAGCTTTTTCCTCTTCCTCGTGTTTCATTTTTCCTCCCCTACCTCTTCTCCTTTCAGATTGATCCCTTCCTGACGACTTTTTGCCATTCATGAAAGTTCTTTTTAATGTCTTCTTCTGTTTTGACGCCGGGTGTTTGGGGAGGCGCGCACACTTACCTGTAGAACTGTGGTACCTGATGTTGTCGAGCGAGGGGGACACTTTTATTGTCCAACTTTGCCTTCGTTGCCGAGCCCGATCTCAACAGACTGACGGCTCTTAAAGTAATGTTTGTTTAAAATTTGTTTTATTTTTATTTTGATCCTGTTTACTCATAGGATATTGTCTTAAATGCAGCTTTTTATTTTTTTTCATGTTGTGTTTAGCAGTCCATCAGCTAGTATTACTGCAATACCTTAATTAACATAAGTGCCATACAAGATCCTAATTGTAATAAAGACTTTGTACAAAGTTCAGATATCGGTGAAGACAATGCTGGTTATGAGGATGACAGTGGGAGGTAGACATTCACAGCACACATTAGTGGTTTTGTCCATCCACGCATCATGTTACGGGTCCTCATTTTCCTTTAGAAAATAATCTTATGGAAAATGTTGTGTCGAGAGTTAGTGATATTGGAGTTTATTTTGGCAAGTCAGGTGACATCGTCTGCTGGTAGCATGTGGCACTATTCTGCCCATGGTCATTATCATGCCCACCACAGCTGCTTAGTGGTTTGTTAAGATGTATAAAAATGTATATACAGTACTGTAGTTGTATATGATTGTGTGTGTGTGTGTATATAGTGCAATAACAGTAAAACTGTATGTTTCATTGTTCAAAGAATCTGATATGGTGTGCATATTAGTGACACAAAATTATCTGTGCACACCTATGATCTGTATGTTCTATGATACAAATAGCATTATTGACAGCAAGTTGCATCATTGCACTTGAAACAACAATGGCAAAACATTAGAAATATAAGAACTATGTAATATATTGAATGTGTGCAATTACAATTTCATATAACGCAGTCATAGCTAGGCTGAACTCTGATTATTAGTTACAAAGTTATTACACCTAGAACAACATACTAGTTATTCATAATGATGCATGAAAATATAAATAGTTCTGTGCACTGTATATAGTGTAATAACAGCCAAAACTGTGTAGCAAGTATATTATGTCAGTAATATAATTGCTTCATTCTCTTATTAGCATATGTTCTGATAATGAGATGGGTCTGTTAATTCTACGTAGTCCATTAATTACAAATTCATACCTCTTCCCGAATTACAGTTAACATTCCTTCCCTACCTTCTAGAGGATGACCAGGTGAGGTGTGGACCGATTATATAAGTAATCAATAAGGGAATAATTATCAGTCAAAACTCCAAGAGTGGTTCAGTACAGACGCTTGAGAGATATCGCACCGACTCGCCATCTCACCGTCGATATTCAGCGTGCACTTGGCTCGCCGTCACACCTTCGATATTCAGCGCGCACTTGGCTCGCCGTCACAACTTCGATATTCAGCGTGCACTTGGCTCGCCGTCACAACTTCGATATTCAGCGTGCACTTGGCTCGCCGTCACACCTTCGATATTCAGCGTGCACTTGGCACCCCGTCACACCTTCGATATTCAGCGTGCACTTGGCACCCCGTCACACCTTCGATATTCAGCGTGCACTTGGCACCCCGTCACACCATCGATATTCAGCGTGCACTTGGCACCCCGTCACACCTTCGATATTCAGCGTGCACTTGGCACTCTGTCACACCTTCGATATTCAGCGTGCACTTGGCTCGCCGTCACACCTTCGATATTCAGCGTGCACTTGGCACTCTGTCACACCTTCGATATTCAGCGTGCACTTGGCACCCCGTCACACCATCGATATTCAGCGTGCACTTGGCACCCCGTCACACCTTCGATATTCAGCGTGCACTTGGCACTCTGTCACACCTTCGATATTCAGCGTGCACTTGGCACCCCGTCACACCTTCGATATTCAGCGTGCACTTGGCACCCCGTCACACCTTCGATATTCAGCGTGCACTTGGCACTCCGTCACACCATCGATATTCAGCGTGCACTTGGCACCCCGTCACACCTTCGATATTCAGCGTGCACTTGGCACCCCGTCACACCATCGATATTCAGCGTGCACTTGGCTCCCCGTCACACCTTCGATATTCAGCGTGCACTTGGCACTCCGTCACACCTTCGATATTCAGCGTGCACTTGGCACCCCGTCACACCTTCGATATTCAGCGTGCACTTGGCACCCCGTCACACCTTCGATATTCAGCGTGCACTTGGCACCCCGTCACACCTTCGATATTCAGCGTGCACTTGGCACCCCGTCACACCTTTGCTCTCCAAGTTTCACCTACAAACTCCTGTTGACTACATTCGTCCAAATATATATATTTTAATAGTATCTGTGTTTATTGTCACCACAGTTGACGTAACAAAAATGTTACATTGGTGGCCCAGTGAGTGAAACAAACGCCAGTTGCAAATAACTGGTAACTATAGCTTTGTCATGGATTTCTCTGCAAGGTTTCCAGTATACAATGCAGATGAACCAGGATTATGGTTCATACAGATGGAGGCTGTTTTCGGCTACCAGGAGATTACGACTGATAAAGCCCAATATGCCTGCACCCTGTCAACACTTCCCATGGATGCTATGCACACCGCCACCGCTGTCATCAACGTCTCATCAGTAGACACCAGGACGTACACCACACTAAAGGCCTCCCTTTCACAGGCAGCTATGAAACACCGCTTTAAACAACGGGATCAACTCCTCACTGACAAGTTTTGCAGACAAAACACCAGCCCAGCTTCTGTGGCATATTCAGTTTGTAATGCATACTGCATTGGGTCTAGCCCCCAGAGAGATTGTGAGATCACTCTGGATACAACTCTGTCCAAAACACATTCAACCGGCCCTTCTCATTATGGATGATGACACCCCATTAGTACAGCTGGCTACATTGGCCGATTGGCTGTACACTACGTCTGATAACGCTACGCTGTCCCATCTCAATGATAAACAGCAGACTACAGACACCCAACGACTCGATGTCCTCCAGAGCCGGCATCTCTTCCGTCCAGGGAGGACATACCACAAGAATCCAGCATCAGGCCCTAGGCGACCATGAGGACACCGAGGGGAGCTTTGTTCTTACCACCAGATGTTCGGACACACCAAGCCCACAACTGCATTGCTCCATGTTCCTGGTCAGGAAACTACTTCAGTGGGGACTGTTAACGGCCATTAACCCCGCCATTTCAAACAC